TTGAAAAAAGTAATCGGATTACAGTAACGCTACTGCCCATCTCTGCTCAGGAGATAATAAAAAGTGCATCCATAAAACGAAGTACAAATTCAGAACACACAGTTGTTATTATTGATGACAATACAAATTCTAATACACAGGAGAGTTTGAGTGTTGATCATGTGAGAGCGCACACAGGACGAGTATTTGTATTTGCCAGCATGAGACCAGCGCAGGTCAGAGACACTGAGCCAGGTACAGAAGGTGGAGCTCGGGTGTAGGTGGAGGTTTGCCCTGGTGCAGGGCAGCTTGGTTTCATGGCCCGTCTGAAGTTAAGGTCATGTTTCTGGTGTTGGTTGTGTGTGCATTATTCTGTCTGTAAACACAATAGTTTAAAAAACTTAATTCTAATAAATCTTGTAGGGGTGTAGAGTGGGCTCATCTTAACAAGCCGTTTAAATTTGCCTTCCACCCACCGAGGTCTTCAAGATCAGCTTCATGAGTTATTATTGGAAAATGGACAAAAAGCCTTCGAGCTTAGAAACTGTGGATTCTCAACATAAGGAAATGATCACATATCAGGTCAGATTTGACCTCTGACCTCTCCAACAAGTTCAGTCTGGTTGATCTGAGTTTGAAAGTCATAGTAATGTTAGTTTAGTATGTTTGTATTTTTAATGAATGCACTATATCCACATTAATAATAATTATACTCAGCAGTGCAAATAACAAAATCTCGCACTTTTACGTTTAAAAAGAAAACAAAATATAGAAAATAAAAACAGTTTTCTTAAAAGCTGCCTTGGTGGAGTTTGTGCTCTCTGAGTGCTTCTTGTTTATTTATTTCTATTTTTTGGCTCAGGACCAAAAGTGTTAACAAGCTAAATGTTTGAAATAGACTCAGAGTACTAAAGACCAGCTTATCTCAAAGTAATGAAGTGTGACGGGGTTTTCCTGGATTTTTGCCGCTCTGAGCCACACAATGTTTCTTTCTTACACAGTTATCACCCCCTGAAGGCCCTTTGTGATTCAGGAGAAGGAGAGAATAAAAAGTAATAACAGGGCGGCAAACATGTGCAACAGTTTGTTACAGAGTTTGTTACTGTAGCCAACAGTTATGGATGATCGGAGCAGGTCATGAACTAACCCCGTCCTCTCCTCGCTGCACACAGACAGAGTCTCGTGAGACGCTGCTCGGCTTCAACATGGTCAACTACCGGGCCTGTAAGAACCTGTGGAAAGCCTGCGTGGAGCACCACACCTTCTTCAGGCTGGAGCGGCCCATCCCGCCGCAGAAGAACTTCTTCGCCTACTACTTCACCCTGGGCTCCAAGTTCAGATACTGGTGAGAACCACAGGCCACAAACACGAGCTGTCAGAGAAACACCGGAGAGCCTCTGAACCTCCAGGGTCTCACATGTCCAGCACACAGATATGTGGGTGGATGCTTTGTCCCGCCCTCCTCCTTCGCTTCAGTTTGCGAGGCTGAGACGCTGAAAGTGGCCGCTGTTTGCCTTTGAACCTTCTCGCACTACCTTGCCCCAGAAAAGCACGGTTTAATTATTCATGGTTTGCCTGAAACAAAGTAACCAAATTCATGTTTGGCCTTCCAACCGTTGTCTTTCAAGTTTTGCGGGAAGTGTTTGTGTCCACGTGAGAGCCAGCCGTGCATTTTATTTCACATTGTCCGTAGCGCTGCCGCCGCCCTCCTCCTTTCAGACAGAGCATTCCTTCCCGTTTGGTTTGATAGTTTTGTTTTTTACTTCAAGTTGGAACCGGCGCCGAAACATAAAATAAAATGAGGTTTTCTCCTCGCTGCTTTATGACATTGCACTGTGTCAACTTTGTTTCACTTCACTGGCGCCATGTTTTTCGTTTCCTTTTTCTATCAAATGTGAGCGAGAGCTGAACTGAGAGCTGGAGGTCTTGTGATGCATTATTGAGCAGCAGTGATGCAACGTGAGCGAGGCTCGTCTGATGTTTGGCTCCACTGAGTGCGCGCGCGTGTGTTTGGTTGAGATATTGACTGACTTTTCAATAAGCATAGACCTGAATTGTGAATTTGTGCTGTTAGAAATCTTATTAACTTTGTTTCAGAAGATGAAATATGCTGTGCTTGTTACTGGTTGGCAGGCAGCTCATGGTGTTTAGATTTCTTAAAGATCGGAGGAGCTAATTCACTGAAGTGCCTCTCGTTATTAGAATAAGGCAGCACGGTCTTGTTGTGTTAAATAAAATCGATATGCATGTATGGATTTATCACATTTGTCACAGAAAACCTTCGATAGCTGCTTTTTGAAACTGTCCTAAACTTACGAGTTGTTTTTGTCGTCTTCAGCGGGCGGACGGAGGTGCAGTCTGTGCAGTACGGGAAGGAGAAAGGCATCAAGGACAGAGTGTTTGCCAGGTAATTCTCAGGTTCTTGATGGTCAGCTGATGATTCATGTTGATTTCGTGCAACGCTGAGTTAGTGCGTCTGTCTGAGCAGGTCACCCAGCAAGCCGCTGGCCAGGAAGTTGGTGAGTGGAACCGACTGGGAGTCGGTCAGCAGGAACAGCCTATCGGACGAGAGATTGGAGACCCAGAGCCTGCCCACTCGTTCCCCGCCCGGAACGCCCAATCAGTGAGTTCTGAGTACACTTCAGCTGTCTCCGTAACGCTTCACCTATGTCCCGCAGACCTGGACGTCTCTGGGATTCAGACAGCAGAGATGTGAGAGCCCAAATGTTCACCTGTCAGCTCCCGGTGCAAAGTCCATGTCAGATTTTGTCGATGTGGGAAAAGAAAATAGTCTGGCGTGTTCATCCCAGCACATCTAAACCCTGCAGCTCTCCCACCCTTTCCCTAAACAATTTTCAAGATCACTGCGTAGTTTCACCTGTAAAGAAAACTAAATGTTAAAGTGCACGCTCACTGATGAGAAGTTTTTCCTTCGTCAGGATATATCGGATATTTCCCGTCCACTCCTCTCTCACACGGCTGAGGCTGTGTTTATTTTCAGGTCAGCTTATGCTCTGTTATTATAGATTAACGAGAAGTTTATAAAGTAAATAAAACTGCTGTTTTTCTGCAGGTAAAAGTCTGCTTCACTGGCCTGTGGAGAGAACAGACCAGGCACTGGTTCAACTACTTCTTTCTTTCTCTCCTTTTGGACACCTTTTTCTTTTTTTTTATTAAACTTGTCAAGAATTAATTGGTGGGTGATAACGAGTTTTTAAAGAGTCGTTGCTGGTTCTGAGTGGCTCCGCCTCTTTTACCACAGCGTTTGTTAACTCGGTATTCAGCCAGAGAAACATCGGCTTCAGTCTGAGTAGCACTGCTAGGATCTCCTGTACCATAATGGCCATTTATGGCTTTCAGCCTTACATGAGGAGAAATCGTAAAGCAGGCTTAAAGATGACAGAGAGCAGGGGAATAATCTTCCAGTTGTTCAGCATCTGTTATGAATCAGATGAAGGCAGAGCATCATTAAAGTGTCAAATCTGGATGTTTTAATAAGCAATGCCTCCTTGTAGCCTCACAGCTGACATAAATCCAGACGCGAATGTAAAAAGAGTTAAATTGTAAAGATCACGAGCTTTAAATCTGAACGTCTTCTTGGTAAATAAATGAATGATGCGTTTGGGGTCACGTTTCCATCGCTGCCCTTGAACACTGTGTGTCTGCGTCTGTTTGTTTATCAGGAACTCGCTGTTTGTCCAAGAAGGCACGCGACTACGGCCGTCGTCGGTCGGCCACCTGGTGGATCACGTGATCCACGCTTCACCCAGCCTGCCCGTCTTTTCCTCCAATCACAAGTCGGCGTCGTCCACGCAGGCTAACAGCATCAGCCTGGACTCCACACCGTAAGTCGTCTTCTTCTCCTTCTCCTTTTAACGCACGTCCCACCCACGTTTCTTCAAGCTCTTTGTATTTGGGCAGCAAACATCAGCTTTGGACTCGGCGGCAGAGCGGTGGTTGGATCATAATTTGACTGCTTCGTAAATAGAGCGTCCCCCGAACACAGACACCCTTTAATTTAGAACTTACATTTTACTCATCAGATTTAGTCTGAGAGTACTGCTGAGTTGACAGCTTTTGTTTTTTTTAAAGTCTGCCTGTCGGTGTCTGTGGCTTCTCCCGACAGTTCACACCCTCCCAGTGTCACTTAGCTGGCCCCAGTGGAAAGATAAACCCTTTGAAAAACAGCCCGTAAAATGTGTTTATAGCGCATAGCAGGGCGGAGCGCTTGTGCAACAGGGCTGAACTAGGAATTAGCACGCGCGCGTACGTGTGTGTGTCTGTGTGCGCGCGCGTGTATTTGTGCTTTCTGGATCTCCTTAAAATGCTCTCACACTGCGAAATATTCGTCGAGTCGTTTAATAAAGTTCCACACGGCTGCTTCGGCGTCTGAAATCTTGCATCGAGCTGGTAGGAGAGATGGATGTCTCAGTTGGACGTCAGGATGGTTAAGTAACATTTAAGTGGTAGTTCCTCTGCCTACAAAGCTGCACACGCAGACGAACACGCCAAGTCAGTGGCTCATCGCTCTGTTACGGAGCCAGAACATGACATAATCACCTGCTCTCCCTTCCTCCCTCTCTGTTATTGTGCGCTTCGTCCATCGCGGTAGTGGAAATAAAAACAGGCCAAAACAGCGTTTTATGAGACGAACTTCAGATGCTTTATTTTGGAGTTTGCATGTTTAACCCTTCAGACTTTAGTGTTTCCTGATGAAAAGTCTTCACATTCAGTGTCAAAGCACCTCAGGTCAGTGAGTAAGAGACATTCATGATCCATATTACCTGTTCAGGTTAAAAGTAAAACACCGTCACGGTTTAGAGAATATATAAAAGCTATGAATTCACTGATAATATTAAACCACATGAATTACTTTGATTACACTTTATAATGCTGCCTGTGAAGTATTTGGAATTATTTGAATGCATTATTTAAATTTAGTTACAATGTAACATACATGAAGTTCTACTTAAATGAGCTTACAGTACAATTCCTTTGTTTCCTGTAACAGCCTGAATTGTTAGTGTTATTCTAGTCTACCCAGCTTTAAGTCCGTATAGGTAAATATCGTTTCAAAAATTGCTGTGACGTTGCACGCTCAGTTGAAGGTCATTAAAATTTGTACTATTTTCAGCTACAGTTGTTCAGTCAGACATGAAGCACATCTATCAGTTTTAATCACAGCGCTATGATTAGTGTTAGCCACGTTCCTTTTTCTGTGAATGTTTTCTGCAACTGTGCAGAAGAGAATTGGGACGCTAACCATTAGAAGAAATGTTTTTAAGTACGTCTTTCAGCTTCAGTGGTTATGAACCTCAACCATGAATCACTTTTTGATATCAGCCTCTGGTTGGAACCGCTGTGGTTTGGCTTTGATATAATTTATCAAATAAATTCTGCCTTTTCGAGTGAATATTTGCAGCATTGCTCGCGTGTTTCTAGGTGGATCACTCCTCGGCATTACGTGTTGGAGATTTTCCTCCAGTTAAACTAAAACGAGAATCTGCTTTTTGTCACCACGCCCTTTAAAAAACCCCTAATGTTCTGTTTTCTAGTGGCGTGAAGTTGAAAATGATCTGTTTAGCTAACCACAGTACACTGGAGGGATCCTTATTTTTAATTGCAGTGTCTTTATTTCCTTGACAGCGTCAGGGAAAAAGCCTGGCGTGATTATGCCTTTGGCCGGAGCTGGGAGTTTATGACACGGTGGATTTTCTTTCATTTGTTATTGTCGGATTAAACGTCGATTGGGTCATCCTCTTTACAACAGCGCGGCGCTGCACACGCAGACTTCTCGCTGCAGAGCCAGAAGGCGTGGCGTTGTTTTCGCGTGCGCTCAAATTATGTGCTGGTGCACCTAAATGAAAGTTAGGCACATCAGCGCCTGGAGCCTGCACGTCATAATAAATTATTTTCTGTGCTGTAATCAAACTCATTTCTCTGAATTCAAAGCAAAGGCAGGCTTTGGTGAATTATTGGAAAATAAAAACTGGGTGTGCACTGAAACAGGTTTTAAATTAGTCTTTTTGTGGTTTCTAAAGCAACATTTTTCTTTATTGCAGCTCCTTTTAGCCCTCTCGTGTACCCGCATATGATTTTTCTGTCACTGCACACTCATTTGGTTCCCTCTTACACCGTGCTTTCAAAAATTTATCGAGCGATAAACATAGATCCAGTATGGAAGTATGTGATAGAAGGAAAGCTAAAAAGCAGGGCTTAGCCGCGTCCTCGTCCCGGGCCTGGCCTAAGGTTGTGGCTGTCGCGCCGAGCAGATGCATAATGCAGGATGATGTGCAGTCTCGGCTCAGGCCTGCTGCGCGCTGCCCTCTCTCTGAAAGCCTGACCTGGTTTTGACCCATAATAAATGTTAGTTTGCATTCGTGTGTTTAAGAGACAAAGTGACAGCGGTAGCAGAAGCCAAAACAAAGGCAATGCTCTTTGACTTGTGCTTCTGCCCCCGAGGAGCGCCCGTACGCAGCAGTGCACACGCGTGAATGCAGACGTGGACTGAAATGCTTTTACGCAGCAGAGACCGAGCCCTGATGATGCTGAAAGCCTCACCTGGCTGCTGATTCGCCGTACACGCCGGCTGCTTCTTTATTGTCGGGATGATGGAGGGGGGATGTTTTCCTTCCTCCAGCAGCCCTTTTATCGAGGTTAATGCATTGTGACTAACACAGTGCTATTAAGCCTCCCTGTCTCTCACGGTCTCCTCGCCTGCCTTTCTCCATTTGTCTTCAGTCCACCTCTTTAACAAGGAGGAAGACTATTGTTGTGTAGTTAGTGTTGTGTAGTTATCATGAATGCATGTTTGCAGCTTTGCTGTCCATCCTCGAGCACTCACAGCAGCTTCACAGGCTTCACAAATCCTGTGTTACTAACGGTATCGTAACAAATTTCTTTTATTGCGGCTTTCTTCTTCTTCCTCCCCCCGTTTGCCTCCCTCAGGTCTCCAGATGGGGTGGATGGTCAGCCTCCAGCTCTCCCGCCCAAGCAGCTGAGCAGGAAGACCCTGAGCCAGATCATCCAGGCCCACTCCCAGCAAAGCCTGCTGGACAATCACCTCAATGAGATGTATGATGTTCCCGTCAATGCCGACAAGACCACGGTCAGTACGTTACCGTTTATGAAGATGTCATGAAAGAATACTGCAACAGTTTCTGTACAAGTAAATGGAAACTGTGTTCGCTTCAGAAGTCGTCTGATTCTAGATGTTTGAATATCTGAATAGATGAAGAGAAATCCGAGTATTTTATATTTGTGCCGTTTTTATATAATCTTTCTAAGATGTTTAGAGTCTTTTAGCTCATTGTTTTGGCTGTTAAGCATCTACCGGCACCATATTAAAAAGGCGGGGTCGTTGCTGTCTTTGGTCCCAAGACTTATTTCTTCTATGAGTCCCTAAATCCGGGAAAATGAGGATGAAAGAACGCGGCACACTCTGCTTGGACATATGTGTCAAAGAGACTAAACCTTAGAGGTGGTTTTAAATGATTTGGAGACGGTGACATATACCTGCAAATATTATGACACCTGTTGAAGTTTCTCATTCTATTTCATTCTTTTTATGTGTATCAGTCTTAAATTTACTGGTTACATTTTTTAAAAAAGTGATATTTGTGCCAAAAATGCAAGAAAAGTTGGGCTTTTGGTTCTGAAGTGAGCCACTTTATTCTGGTGTACTGTGGTGCATTTATAGCCGTCTGTATTGTAATGTATTTGCAGTTGTATCATCAACTCATGTAACAGGAAAGAGAATGAATCCATTAAGCTTACAGGATCGGCCGCTGTTAAAGTCTGAGCGCTCTGAGCTGTTGTTTGACAACGTGCTGATCCGTGATGTTGAAGTGATGACTTGTGTTCTTTCAGCTGAACGGAGTAGTCCCTCACGATAACTTGGTCCTGATCAAGATGAGACCGGATGAACACGGACGCTTCGGCTTCAATGTCAAGGTGAGAGCTGAGGAGACAGGAGCGAAAACTCCCCTCGCCACCTTTTATCTCTCCTGCAGCCGCTCACTTGTGTTTTTCTAGCTTATTTCTATGCCTGGTGTAAATGTGTGGGCACATCATCTGTATGCATGCGGACACATCCGCACTGCTTTCCCAAATGTTAACTTGACCCTAAATATAAAAAGGACGTTTGTGTAAGACGCTGTTAACGTGTGTGTGTGTGTGTGTGTCTGCAGGGTGGAGCTGACCAGAAAATGCCCATCATTGTGTCTAGAGTGGCTCCGGGAACCTCAGTAAGTCAACAAGAACCTCATTTGTCTTTACACTCTAGCGAGTTGCACATTTTTTCCTCTCACTCATAAAAACACGTCTTCAGCCGCCCAAACTCTCTGAGGTCTCCGTGGTGAAGAGTCAGATTGATGCTGACTTTAGTATAAAACTTTCAGAAACACAAAACTTCAGCGATCATATTTTTTTTCTTCTCTTTCTCCTCTTCAGGCTGACCTCTGTGTGCCTCGCCTTAACGAGGGCGACCAGGTAGTCCTGATTAATGGGCGGGACATCTCTGACCACACCCATGACCAGGTAGTCATGTTCATCAAGGCCAGCTGTGAGAACCACTCCGGGGAGCTCATCTTATTGGTCAGACCTAATGGTGAGTGGTTGTTAGAGTGCCCAGTGCATTAAACACTGATCAGGTGTAACATCCTGACAGCTGACAGCTGAGGTGAATAACACCTATCTCTTCATCCTGCCATCTGCTAGTGGGCGGGATATATCAGGGAGGAAGTGAATATTTTGTCCTCAAAGTTGATGTTAGGAGGAAAAATGGTCAAGTGTAAGAATTTGACAAAAGGCCAAACTGGGTCAGAGCATCTCCAGAACCTCAGCTCCTGTGGGTTATTCCCGGGGTGTCTCCCAGGGGTCAGTATGCATCAGCGACAGGGTCGTGAGTGGCCAACGGTCACAGATGAGCAAAGGCTGACCCGTGTGGTTCGATCAAACAGCAGAAAAAGTTGATGCTGGCTCTGATAGAAAGGTGTTAGAATACACCGAGCATCAGAGTTTGCGGTTTCTGGAGCTCCAGACCAGTCAGGGTGCCCATGCTGACCCCTATCCACCACCGGAAACGCCAGCAACGGACACGTGAGCGTCAGAAATGAACCACAGAGCAATGCAAGGAGGTGTCCTGGTCTGATGAATCCCACCTCACAGCTCACAGGCCTCACAGGTATCTGTTGCTAACATCTTGGTGCGGATACCACAGCACCCCTTCATGAGTCTAGTCTTGGCAGCAGAATGGGGACCAGCACAATATCAGGCAGGTGGTCATGATGTCATGTCTGACCGTTTACACCGACAGGCAAACTTCTGGTACTTAGGCCTTTACAAAAAGTGCTGAAAGATCAGATTTTTAGAGGATATTTGTACATGTATAAACTGTAAGTTCTCTCGAACACTAGTACTGTAGGTATGTGAGTAACTCATATATTTGCCATATATTTTCTTCAGGCTTTAACTTTCAGAGTGTCTTTGTATGCTAGTGAGCTTCTTCTGCCACTTCCTGGGTTTGAATATTTGCTCCTGATGAGACTTGCAGTTTGTGCGGTGCGGCCGGTTTTAATATAAGGACCGTAAACATTCGAATGAAGTGTTTTACAGGCTAAGTTTAACGTATTAACACAGGGTGCAGCACACTCCTGAAAATGAAATGTGGTCAGAAACTCGTGGAAATGAGATCTGCGAAGCCGAACGTGGCGGTATCTGTACGTCTCGGCCGTATGTGTGTTCACCACATAGGAGACTCGTGCTAAAGCGTCTCCTTTAATCAGCGAAGCGGGGAGAAGTGCTGTTAAAGATGATGAAACAGAGAAACTGTTTGTGTGTTAAGTGGGTCAGAAACAGATCAAAGCAGATAGAAGAGTCCATCGAAGTCTTTACGTTATTCAGTTTTGCTGTTGAAATGTTGGACTGTAAGTATTTACACATAGAGGACATGTGTTCTCTTTGTGCTCGAGTTTTGTTGTTTGTTGTTTGACTCCATGTTTTTATTCTTGGCCTCTACTAGTGTAGCTTTGCATGACTTACAATTGAGCGTTAACGTGTCCTCTGTAAGTCCTTTATCTACTGTCTTAAACAAGCTGTTTGGACTCCTCTTCCTCCTTCCTGATTGGCTGCTTCCTGCAAAGGACAGATTTGAGCAGCTCGTGGTTTGAGCCGCATGCTCGACACAACCACTTTCATGCGGATCCAAGATTAGAGCCTTTGCCTTACAGGGATGTAAGCTGAGCTCATTATTGTGAATCTTAGTAGCGGTGATCTGTATATATGTCAGAGTAGATGGAAAAGCTCATAGATTCCTGTTACAGTTTGTTTTCCTCTCCTCTCCTGCTCAGCCATCTATGACGTGGTGGAGGAGAAGGTGGATCCAGAGCCAGATTTTCAGTACATCCCTGAGAAATCCCCTCAGGACCCGGCCCAGCTAGACCAGCATGCTTTGAGAGACTCTATGGTCGCACTGAAGGAAGGCCTGGGCGGCGGAGCCATACTGGCACAGTTTGATGTAAGAAGGACACGAAAAAAGTTCACACGCTCACACACACGTGAAACTGCAGGCTCGAGTCGGCGGTTTGTCATTTATTTTTAAATATTTTGTTGGTTAATTTGCTGCCAGATTCTTTCCTCCACGTTCCTGATTTATGCGCTTCTAAAATTTATAATACACAAAAACGCACAAAACAAAGACAAATGCTGATATTTGTGTTCCTTGTCTTGCAGCAACTGTACAGGAAGAGGCCGGGGATGACGATGCTGTGTGCCAAATTACCTCAGAACGTTTCCAAAAATCGCTACAGAGACATCTCTCCCTGTACGTGACCCCACAGCGCTATCAAACTTTCTCCCTTTTCTCATCATTTCCCCTCAACTTCTATTTTCTGACTTTTTCCAACAACTTTTAACAGAAGTAACAAAGTAACGACCTGAGAACAAAGGATAAAATCCTCCTTAAATGCAAACATGCATTAAAGACACAGTTTGGACTTGTTGCTGTTTTTCTTTGCCTAATCTTACCCTCTTCTCTTGTTCTTCTCTCCCGACAGATGATGCCACCCGCGTCATTCTGAAAAGCACAGATGATTACATCAATGCAAATTACATCAATGTGAGTTATCTTTAATGTCTGCAGTTTTGCTTGCGTGTTACACTGATGCTGAATCACAGCCGGTGCATATGAACAGGACTATCACATCACACGCTGCTTCCCAACGTCCCGTTTCGGAGCCGTGAGTTTGGGTCCTTGTGGCCATATTTGGACTATTTGGGCTTGAGTGCTCGTTTGTCAGTGAATCCTGGAAAGCTGCACCCATCATCTGGTAGTTTTGCTAAGTAACTGAAACTGGAGCGCAGACTTCTTGGGCTGCCTCTGCCACATGGCAGGCTGTGGTATCGGTCAGATAGTGCCCACCAGGCCTTTATTTTTCAAAGCTAACGGCAGCTTGCGTGTATAAGAGGGTTACAAACAGAGAATGGGTGCTTCTTGGTAAGAATTTAATATAAGAGCGTAATATTTTAATGAATTGAATCTCCTTTGGCTCTCTGTCTGTTAATGTCATGCCTTCTCAGACCTACTTCAGGTTTGTGCCCTGCAGCAAACACACGAACACCTTTGCAAAGAGTGTGAAGGGCGGCATTTTAAAGCCTTGTTCACTCTGTGATCGGTGGTTGTTCGGTGTGAAGGACACAGGCCCTGCTTTTTTGCCGTCTAATCAGCATGAACAAATCCAGCTTCTCATCAGTGTCATTATTAATTCAGGGGCTGTAGGTAATCTGATAAAGACCTGGGATAATTTGACTGTTATTTGATTTGATAGAGTTGGGACGCTCATGGAAAATGACCATTCATTTATTCTCTGTTAGCTAGAAAGTGTAGTTGATGATATGTGGTATTGGGACAAGCGCTGATCCAAAAAAACCAACAAAATAAGTTGGAGTAAGATGCAAATCTAATGCAGTCTCTGTTTCTTTAACCTGAACCTCTGGTGTGTGTGTGTGTGTGTGTGTGTGTGTGTCTCTCGTCCTGTGTAGATGGAGATTCCTGCGTCCAGCCTGATAAACCGCTACATCGCGTGCCAGGGCCCGCTGCCCAACACCTGCCCCGACTTCTGGCAGATGACGTGGGAGCAGGGCTCATCCATGGTGGTCATGCTGACCACCCAGGTCGAGAGGGGGCGGGTATGTAAAAGATCTCTTCAAGGACGAGGGCAGGAAACTGAAAATGTACTGTTACAAAGAGCCGTTTGAATTTAACGTTTCGGTAAACGGCGCAGGTTACAATGCTGAGGCGAGCTGCGTCGTAATGCCTCAGAATATTTAATTATTTACAAAAGTCTGCAAAGTCTCACACGCTGCAGACTTCTCTGCAGCTCAAGCCGTTGTTAGTTTTGGAAAGAAGTAATCCTTAACACAACATTACGTAACAATGAAGCTTCCAGACACGGTGCCGGGATGCCGATAAAAATCTCTGGACTCGATCTACAGTTTACATTCAGGGATGAGAAATTGGAGAAACTGGACATGTTTAATGGTTTGAAATGTAACAGCGAGGACGTAGATGATGAGAGTCATAAGGTGTTTGATGTGTTTACAGGTGAAGTGTCACCAGTACTGGCC